CCCGCCCCGAGGCTTCGCCCGCTGCCCGGGGCTCTGCCGGCTCGCGCCGACCCGCCCGCAGCTACAGCTCGCGCTGCGGGGGCAAAAACCACAGGAAAAGGAGAAATGCCACCTGGACTGAAGCCCGTGCTAAAAGTTTTACGTTAATTACATTCATTTTACATGAACGGGATTAATTGCCGGCAAAGTCAGCTAGCAGCAAGCAAACGGGCTGGGTCAGGGGAGGAATGGGAAGCGGGGCGGGAAAGGTGATGCTTGTTTGAACCAGTGTTTCTGAGCTACACGTTAATAATAACAAATGTTTGTTTTCTCAGAATGCTTTTCATTAGAAGGCTTCTCGCTGCTGAAAAAGTTAAAACCTACGGATCAGAGCACATGCAAATGGCTCTCTGCCCTTTCTGTCCTAGCGACGGCCAGTGAACCCCCAATCTTGACTTCTGAAGTCCTGCCGCAAGGGCCGTACGAGGCTCCTTCTTCAGAGCTCCCCACCGTAGCTACAGTCTTCATTAACCCCGCAGAAAGCTGCAATTTCTGCAACGCCAGACCTTTGCTCACTCAGTGGACTGTCACTTCCACCTCTGGGCATTTTAGAAGGCTCTGGTATTTTCTTCCTGTTTTTTCCAAGAGACTTAATTTTTAAAGAAAGGAAAATGAATAGATTTTTGAGGTGAACCATAAGCTTTAAGCGACGCTCTCCAAAGAGTAACCCAAATTCAAACCAGCTTTTCAGGGGGGAAAAAATGCTGTGGCATGAATCTGAGATGCCTGTCAGAGCAACCTAGCTCAAAAGAAATCATTTTCATCTGCGAAGGCTTGACACAATTTGGATGCTGCGGAGCCCTGGAGCCCCTGATGCGCTCAGCACTGGTGCGGCGGGACAGCCAGCTCCTCGGCAGCACCCCGTGGACTGGGGTGTTGAGGGCTGACGTCTCCAAGAGGAGATCGCCCAAGCTCCATCGCTCACTGGAAGAAGGATGGCACTCCTGCGGCACGAGGGAGGGACACAGGGCTTCCCACAGCTGCCTGTGGCCAGAAGAAAGGCAACGTCCCTAACCTGCCTGGTGGACGCGCGGCCAGCCCTGCGCCCGGCCAGCTCGCGCGGTGAACAACGGGCGCCGCGTCGCCCAGAGAGCTCGCAGGAGCCTGGGCACAGCGGGGCGCAGCCGGGCCACATTTCATACTTTGCCTTTCTGCTATTTTTCCTTTTTTTTTTTTTTTTCTGAACATCTCTATGGGCAGAATTAGCCATTAATCCACTGAACTGGCTCGATTCAGCCAAAGGTCTTCCAGTCTTAAACACAGAGAAATCTGGGCGACGCGCTGAGCCCGTGAGCATGGGCACAGCACACAATAAATTGCTCGGTTTGTGCAAAAGCCTAAGCATGTGGAAATGGATATCAGTGAGACTCTGAGGTACTGTGTCTCTAGGAAGCGCTGAACGGGAAAGGAGGACAATGAAAACAGAACAAAACTAACGAAAAAAAGACTGTTTGACAAAGGAACAGAGATAAATAGTTATCATGAATTATCATTATTCCCAGAAATTACAAAAGCTTGCCTTGAGTAAAGCTGCTCTGGCATTTTCTGGCAGACCAATTTTTCCATTGGAAAATGCTGGTGAAAAACAACCCCACTTCTTTTTTCTAAAAGCAACACTGGAATTTCTACTCTGCAGGAAATATTAAACTTTCATTTTGATGGGGACCAGCATTTTCTATTTTGAATTTGCACAAGAACAGGAAAACTGGGGTTTGGGAATATTTTACATAGAGTAATAAAGTTCTTTGGTCTGAATTTAAATGACTATTCCACTGCTTCCCTTCAACTCTAATCTGAAACCATAGAGAATTTACTATCCAGAAAAGTTAGTGATGTGTTGAATAAACTTCTTACTTTCACCCCATTACTCATACTCAGTAATTATACATCTCCTCTCTAAATGTCTCTTCTTCCCCCTTTGTCTTTTTCACCCTCTCAATCTCTGTAATTACAGAGGGCTCTCCCCACCCCAACGCTCCCCCCACCTCGCGCCGGGAACGCGGCCAGTCCTTCCTCGCGCCCCGGCTGCAGAAACGCCCATCACCTTCACCCTCCGTGCTCCCCACCGAACCCGCCGCCTCCCCTTTTCCCTCCTGGAGCCTCGCTTATCTCCTTCTGCAGTAACACAGAGACTTTTGGACATGTACTGCTCGATGGCGTGACCACGACGAACCCCCCATCCTTCGCGCCCCTGACGGGAGGGCAGCAGTCTCATCCCCCGAGGAACCTTAGCTTTGTGTCTTTGGAAATAACACAACGGTGCAATTTACCCAAACAAATTCAAACTCTGGTATGAGGGCGCAGAGAGAACAGGCACCTCCTGGGCGGATGCTCTCTGGAGAGTTGGTATTTTTTCCGGTAGGGACCAGTAGCTTTCGTTCCTCTGACTGCAGCACGGTGGGCTGCGACTGCCGCAGCCGCTGCGGGACACCGGCGGGGGGGGGAGGGGGAGGAGGGTGAAGCAGCAGGGCTTTTTCTGGTTGGACCTGAAACGCATCTCTAAAAAGAAAGAACTGCAGTGATGGTGTGTCAGGACCACCGCGGATCTGAGAGGACGGCTCTGCCCTGGCCGAGTGACAGCAGCGGCTCGTGCTGGGGAACAGGAATTGTCCCCGCTCCACCGGACACCCCGGGTGGCCCTCACCCAGCCATGCCCAGGCACCAGCATCCATCCCACAGCCCAGGACTGCTCTCCCAACAGACACCAAAGTATGGAGAGAGGAAAGCAGCAAGAGCTGCATTGCCCAGTGGCGCATGTGATGGAGAAAGGGTGACACATTGGCCCCAGGGACAGCGATGGGGGCATGTCCACTGGGCACCCCCAGCAGCGGTGACAGCAGCTCCCTCCTGCCCAGCCATGCACAGGGCTCGCCAGTGAGGGATCCACCCGGGAACACAGCCCGTGAAGCAGCAGGAGCTGCTCCCAGGGCCAGGCCAGAGCATCGCCGCGAAGGGTCACGTTGCCCTCGGTGCACGTCTTGGCAGTACAAAGACCCCAAAATCTTCGTGATGCTTTGCGAGATGCGGTTTGTGGCACGCTGAGGTTATTTTCCTACTGGAGAGCTGACAAAATCTGGATGAAATTAATATGCCAAAGAAAGAAAATTAGAAGCATACAGGCTTCT